TTTTGGTAGCAGGAAGAATGCGGAAGCAATAGCTTCTGATGAGGGTCACAGTCCTGATGTGAAAGCTCGTGCAGGTTTGCCATTTGGAGAGAGGAGTGCAAGGGGCTAAGAGGTAAAGAGGCCCCTCCTTAGAGATGTTCCCGGCAAGGGATGCTGGTGGCTGCCGCCAGGAAGATGACTGTGGCCGTCTAGGCACATTCTAGAGGAACATCGCGAGATAAATCTGCCCAGAGCTTTCGTACCATTTTGGTCACACTGGAGCTCTCTAAAGTGAATGGAGACAAAGATTTGTCCTGAGGTGTGTGTGGAAATCACGGAGCTCAGCGCGTGCCTCACTGAGAAGTACCCAAGTACCCCAGGACAGTGATTTTCCAGGGCATCCTTCATAGTGAGAACTTCACGGCAAGAACACATCTCACGTGTGGTAGCAGCCTGATCCAATTACCAGGGAAAAACAACTGTTCGCAGAAATAAGCACTATTTCTCAGGGAGCGGCGAAGGCCCTGGTGACATAAGGGGTCTCAGGCAAGCTTCTCAAATTCCCTTTGCTTCTATTTCCTGCTCTGTATGTGGGGGGAGGGGCATAATCCTTCCTAATTTATAGGATGGTTATAAAGTTTAGACAAAGTAATCCTTATTCAGCACAGAGCTTGACACACACAGTGAGTGCTCAGTCTCAGAAAATGTTAGTTACTCTCTTCCTATTATAGAATAATGGTGGCCTGTAGCTCATTAAAAAGCAATCATTAAAAATGCAAATAGCTTTTTAGAGGCTTTCACAGGACTAAGTAGTTCACACAAATACGCGCAGCTCATATGGTGAAGCTGGTTTCTCATCTAGACCTCTCTGATACCATAAGCTGTATTTTTGACCAGTAGGCAGTAATGCTTCCAAAAGCAAGTAAAAAGGAGACTTTTCTCCTTTCCTGACATCTTGGGAGGGGGAACAGTAAGAGGTGGTTCTGCGGCTAGGTCAGACTGCAGGCTTCAGAAGCAAGGCCCTCCTGAGGACGCTGGCCGGGTGGTGACGCTGAGTATCTACTCTGTCCCACATCCACAACAATGACTCCCTTGCCGTGCAAAGCACAGCAAAGAGATCCTATTCTTTCCAGGACTCCTAAGTGTTTTTTTCAGAAGACACAGGTGGTGCTTGGCAAAAAATGTGAATATTAATCACCTTACCATGTAAGAGTTAGTACTAAGGTTGTTAAATGTTTTTGTCATGATTCATTAACATCTCTTGAGATAGGCCGTATTAGAGTCCTTACTTTACAAACAGGAAACAGAGGCTTAAAGAGGTGAAATGTCTCAGCTGCAGTCCCCTCTGAAAGCTGAGGGAGGCAGGATTTGAATCCGGCTGTCCTGGCCCACACTGTCCTCGCCGCTCCCTGGTGCTTGTCTTCATCTTGCCCCTCCGTTATGTGCCTACTTAAGTACCTAAGGCCCCCATTTTTCTGTTTTACCCCTTAAAAGGACGTTATGTCAGCCATAATTAGCTAAGTGTATTGCTGGCAACTACTTCTCTGAAGATTATTTGTACTTAAGCCTTTCAATGATGAGGTAGATTTGACTTTTACTGGCCCATGAGGGTGGATTGCTAAATTTGCAAAAATTTGTGAAGAGTAGATAACATATTGGTAGCTTGACATGGCCACAATAGAAGCATCTATACCGGAGAAATTGACAAACACCGTGACTCACTAGTACTCCCCAGCTCCCTGCCCCATCACACTGCCTGCTACTCAATTTACCATCGCACCACCAGGCCCTCATAACTCACTGTCCTCTATTAAAGGTGTTCAGGCACCAGAGACCACTTTGCCAAGACACCGGCAAGCATAGGGGAGCACGTGAGATCAGGTCTGCCTGTGAGGGACCCTCTGCTAACTCTGTGGATCCTCCTGAGGCTCTGCCACAGCAGTATGGAGGAGCTTTCTGGGCATCCTGAAAACATCTGCATAGAACCCTTGGGAAGGGAAGAGGCAGCTGATGCCCCAAATGAGTACACAATAAAATAAAAGGCTCATTGAATTATTAGGACCTTAGCAAGAGGCACGGTGTTCAAAGATAGAAAGAACACTTAGCAGAATTGTAGAATTTGTTCTTGAGTATGTAAGGAGCCATTTTTTCATATGATGTTATAAACTTACGGATGATAACTAAAAGGAGCATAATTTTATAAGTGCAAATCCAGAAAAGAAGCTGAGATCCTAAAAAGGACTAAACTAGGATTATGTCATTTATTTTATTTCATTTTTGTCATTGTTGCTGTTGTTGTTAAGACAGGATCTCACTATGTAGATCAGGCTGGCCTTGAACTCACTATGTAGTCCAAGTTGGCTTTGAATTCATGGCAATCCCTCCTGCCTCAGCATGTGGAGTACTGGGATCGCAGGCATGCAAGAAAGGATCATGTGGCTTACGATGAGTGTATATGGCCGCACAAGCTTGCATTTAGTCACAAAATAGGAGTTTAGAACCCTGACCATGGCTTGATTTTGAAGAAATCTTAAGTTTATACGTCACTTGAATAGAACATATTATGCCACCATGCCATTTCCTTCAGGAACGTGAAAATGGCTTTTACTAGGTACCGAGTAGATAACAGGGCCTAAATTAAGTACTTTATGTATTAAGCTGAGCTATATGAAACTGCCACTATCTGACCATGTTTTATCTGACAAATTGTCATTCAGATAGCTCAAACTAAACATTATCCCTCTGAGTCTTCATCATCTTCTTATGAAATGGATACTATTACCAGTAGCATTTATTTATAAATGATGCACAGCATACTCTTGTGTGCAAAGTGATGATCCTAAGCAATACAATATAGATGGAGCATGCCCGGTACTAATTCACATATTTTTCTCAGTGGCCTTGAAAAACTTTTAAACTAATAAATTTCTATGACATTTAAAGAGAAACTTAAAAACAAGAGAGAAACTTTAAAAGCTGTTATGAATTTTAAAGAAATTTGACATTTGCGCATGTGTCCTATCTTCCTACACAGAAAATGTAGATGCTATGGCCAGAGATGCCCAGAAAGAATTCAATAACCCCTCAAATTTTCATAACGCTCACAAAAAGTAGATTAATTTCGAATTATCTACATGAAAATTATAACCAGTGCAATCTTGAATCAAGACCATTCGTTGGATGATTATTTGCAAGTAATGCACTGACTTCATCATCAAATGGTTTACAAACAGCAAAGTGGTCAAGCCCTGCGGTTCTAAATAAGCTATTCAATGTCATACTATCAGGAAACCAAATTAGTAAAACCACAAAGTGGACTTTGAAAAAAACTTAAGGTTTGTGACTGTTATTTCAATATGAAACATGAACTTTAAACGTCCCATTTATTTAAAAAAACAAAAATCCTGAGCCGGGTGTGGTGCCCACCTATAATCCCAGCACTGGGGAAGCTGAGGCAGGAGGGCCATTGTGAGTTTCAAATTAGCCTGGACTACAAAGTGAGCTCAAGGCTAGCCTGAACTGCATAGTGAGACCCAGTCTCAAAAAGACAAAAAAAAAAAAAAAAAAAAAAGAAATTAACTTTTATAAACTCTGCTTGACACCATGCAATGTCTCAGCTTGATATGCGGAATTCCCCAAGTTTAAAACTTGGCTCCTGGCTATCTGCCAATGAGGCCTTGCACATACTTAATTCCATGTGCTTTTGGATTGACTGATAAGTTATTGATCAGTAAGAATCTACCGAAGATAATTTTTTTGCTTCTACAGGAGATGTGGCATTATTTTATTTGCAACTTCAAAAGGCCAAGCATACGGAGGCCCATACCCAGCCTGACCTCCTCCAGGATTCCCTTTGATTACTGCTCTATGGCCTGGCTTTCCAAACTTTCCAGACTCACATCCGCATCCAACAGTCCAGACACCAACAAGGAATCTGAAAACCTTCATGCCTAAGTGACCATTGAGCACCTAATGTGATTCCCCCTTTGGTAAAATGTAAGTGACCATCTGCTCTACATTGCTAATGATGTAAAATAATACAATGATCTAATAAGAAATCAAATATGCTTTGATAAAAGGCTGAGAAAGATTAACCACACACAACTGCAGAGAAACAAATGATTCTTAAAGAAGGAAGGGATCTTAAGGTGATTTCCAGTCCTTTCCTTTATAAACAAAAACCCCAAAGCAGGAGGTGGACATTCGACAGGTGCAGTCCCTCAGTGAGAAGCAGGTGGGATCTTCTGACCCTCATCCAGTCCATTTTCTACCAAACTACATTGCTACATTTCTTTTGCTCTCACTGATGTTATAGAATATGAGAATCCCTTTAGATACAAGAATAAATCCAGTCTCACTAAGCTGCTAAAATCCTCCAGGTAAGGACTGCTGGCGTACATGCAGAATAAGTTGTATATGATACACCTAGTCTCCTGGGATATTTTCCAAAGCATACAGAGGCTTGGCATTGTGCCTTGCAAATATCAGACTATTAAATGTCTGGAGATTATTGTTGCAAGGTATTAGACAGTGATGACTATTGAAACAAATAGATTCATAAATGTTCAGAATTCATAAAAATGTTAACATTGGATCTGTTACCTCAGCATCCTAAATATTATTTCTTCTACTGTATAATAAGAAAAACTAGCTAGATTATCCCTTGGGTCTCATCACATACTAATACTTTATTAATCTATGGCCCATAAAATGTAGCATATTTCATATGAAGTTCAATTTCAGCCCCATAAAAATTTGCCATATAAAATATCATTATGATTTAAAACTTAAACTTAGCTTTGTAGGTGACGGATACAAACTTATAGTTCTCAGGACCAAAACTGTCAAGCATACCTCATCTCTTGATTCCTTTCCACATTCCCCTCTGATCAGTTGTATTGTATTCTGGTTTTTTGTCTTCCATGTGTTCTGTTTTATTTTGTGTATATCCTTTACAGTCTGCCCAGTCCAAATATAAAATACTATACAAAGAGAAAACACAGATGAAAGTTATCACATACCCCATGACGATCCTCGAAGTATGCCAGGCTGGTTTTGGTTAAAACAAAGAAGCGGACTTTAAAATTTGAGGGAGAAGTTCTTCTCTTCTGTTGGGATTTCTTGATTAGCTGTTCTTCCAGGAGGATGAAGTTGTTCATGATCCAGTTCTTGAAAAGTGATGCGTCTTGAGCATCACCCCTTAGCACAACCAGGGGGAAGCAGCTTCCAAACCAGAATGTGACCAGGAGGCAGTTGATCTTCAGGGAGTCTCTCAAAGGCAACTTGCCTCTCACCTTATCTCTCTATCAACTTTCAGCTGACAGTGCCAAGCTTCTCTTTTGATGTCAAAGGCCACAACCACATCCTTTCGAAATTCACAAAACCAAAAAGCACATGCAAAAAAAAAATGTATGTACTCTTTGCTGCATGGTTTGAAAAGGATTACTTGAAGAAACTTAAGGCTCCAGCATGTATTAAGGATTGGATTTTAACGCTGAAAGATCTTGGCTTAGGTCCTCCAATGGGGAAGACCTTGGCAGAAGGGGTAAGAGCATCAGAGTCTGTGGTGCTGTGATCTTTTCTGGTGGGTTGTTGGGGTAAGCTCCATGTGCTTGGCCTTCCTATCTTTTGAAGAGCACCCATATTGCTTGGGTCTTGGCCTCTTCCTCCTCCTCAAAAGCCAGCAACAGCACACTGAGTACTGCTCACCTTGTATCCCCATGAGCTCTTCCATAACCCTCCTCCACATGTAAGGATCTTCCTGATTGCACAGGGCTCATGCAGTCTAGGCTCATGTAGGATGGTCTTGCTATTTGAAGGCCAGCTGATTAGCCCCTAACACACTCCATTTACTGCTTTAATTGTCTTTTGCCATGCATCCTAGTATACAGGATGGAGGATAGGGCAAGGGTGTCTTTAGTCAGGGCCATGACATCCTAGATTTGAAATCCTAGGAAAACAAATGGATCTAGACAACAATCACTAGTGATTGTTAAAATCACCATATGCCACACCAGTGGGAAAACACACTATCCCTGGAAGAAGCTGACAACATGGTGACACACTGTTCCGTCTTTCACATCACAGAGAGACAGCCAGACACCGAATGTCCCCTGAGGTAATGCGAGAGGAAGTGTACTAGCCACCCACGCAGAAGTCTTGCAAAAAGAAAGAAAAAAGTCAAACATGAATCTAACCAAGCCTCTACACCAAAATCTGAGTTTGTAGGAAATAGAAGAGAAAAAAGAACATGGCAAATGACAAGATGGAGTTGTAGCTAGGTATCTGCAGAAGATATGAAACACCAAGGGCAAACTACCTGGTATCTGCAAGAAATAAACTACAGGGAACCTACAGATAAAAAGACTACTTCATCAAACCAGTGAGAATTTAGGATTCAGAGCACAAAAACCAGATTGACCACACAAAGACATGATGAGATACCTGGGAAAATTCCAACCATTGATATTTGGCGATAGAGATAAATACTGACTTTTAAGGCATGATAATGACACTGTACTCATCTTAAAGGACAATCCTTATTTTGTACAGAAACATACTAAATGATTGATAAAATAATCAGATGCCTGACATTTACTCATTATAATCCAGTGAATAAATGTGGGGTTTTTTTTTAAACTCCATTCTCCTTATATTGAACATGTTTGAAAGTTTCCAAGTTAAGAAAAGACAGTCCAGTTCAGTGTGATAACCAATACTCTAAGCACATATTCAGTGAAATGCTTTTCTTCTGTGTTCACTGCGGTTTGCCCCAGGATCTGAAGCTCACCGGCTTTTGCACCATATCCTCATCCCTCCTCTTTCCCCATGTGCTCATTTGACTTGTGATCCATTTCTGAGGTCAGGCTCAGGTTGGAGAGAAGAAAGGAAAAGGATCAAAGGCATTTTGGATCACAGCATTCAACACAGCTACTGCAGCAGTGTGAAGGATGGGCTAGATATACAACTGCTGCTTTTCTTTCATGACAAACGTTTGTTTTATGTTTTGTTGTTTTCAGAGAATTATTTTAGCTGAGAGCTTCAATAGCTGTTTCCCTTATGCGAGATGTCACTCTAACTGGCTAATGAACTCAACCTTAGGACTTTGGATTCTGCTGGCTCACCTCCCCACCTACCCTCTGACTGCTTTAGGTCTCACTGCCCACTAGATTGTTCTTGGGGTGAAATGTCCTTGAAAATAAGCCACATGCAGCCAGGTGTGATGGTGCACACCTGTAATCCCAGCACACAAGAGGCTGAGGCAGGAGGATCGTTGCAAGTTGTAGATCACCCTGGGCTACAAAGTGAGCTCAAAGCCAGCCTGAACTGCATAACGAGAACTGTCTGAAAGAGACCAAGAAACAGAAAAAAAAAAAAAAAAGCCACATACCACTTATTGCTTGCCATCGTCCGCCTGAAAACCTCAGATATTTTTGTCCTGCTATCAAAGGTCATACTGCTTGTCCCAGCCCCCTTTCCACCAAAATAAGCAGAGCTCACTATTATCTTTTTCCAAGCAGGAGTTAGACACAGTCCTTACATTTCCAAAATTCTGAACCTCTCACCAGTTCAGAGTCATTCTCTAAAGTCCCCATTCCTTGATTGCTGGTAGGTACAAGTATAGGTGAGAGGAAACACACAGCACTCCAGGAGCTGTCTCTCTTGGCTTTGCAAGTCTTGTTTTCTAAAGGCTGGAAGGGGGGACACTATTACAGGCAGGACTGGTTTTGTCTTTTCTTGTGTCAAGTGTGGAGTCTATAGAACCCCACTGTAAGGCATCTAAGTACTTGATTCCTTCAATTATATTTTAGATGCCTTGGGACCCTCAAATGAAGGTGAGTTGATAAAGTCTCATTTAATATCCTATAACTAAAAACAAAACAAAAATACCCAATGCCAATTCATCTTGGTACTGCTGAATGCCAGTATTTAAGCAATGATATCAGAAACTGTGCTTCTCACTCCTTTGTTCCGTGCCAATTTCACAGGTAGGACGGTTGCCTTCCATGGCAGCAAGATGGCTGCTAGGTATCCCAAGCTGGCATTTTATCAGCGGAACTGGGTTTTCTTTTCTCACAGTTTCAGTGACAGTCCTGGCATTGTGAATCACTGGCTAACCTTCAGTAACATATTCACATATATTCCAGTTGCTACAGACATTTATTTGAAGCTGCCACTGGCTAGCATAGGTCCTTGCTTTAGTAATAATGGAAATTAAAACTAAAGTGGTAGTATGAATTTACAAACAAAAACTTTACCTAGAAGGTAAGAGGAGATGAATAAAGGACCCTACCTGAGGAGTAGCAGTGTGATAAGGAGCAGACCGGCCTGCCAGCAAATGATCACAGGCCAGTTTCATGGGGCTGTAATGGGCTGGGGTCTAGTTGGTCATCTCAGTTTTGATTTCATAGCTTAGGCTGAGTCCTTATAAAGAAAGGGCAATTTGGTTCTCGTGAAAGGAATCCTCATGGCTCAGAGGGTAGTCTCAGTCATGTGGGGCTCTGCTAGAATCCAAGGTAACCTAGGTTTAGGCAGTGAAGATTTCTGGGTATAACTGAAAGTTTCTGTAAATCTCTCAATTTTGAAGAGAGATGAGATAGAGTACGTAAATTCAGGGCTAACAAAACTTGTTTTGTCAGCTTTTAGGCAGGCACTCCTGAAATGGCTACTGTGCCTATACGCAGAGCTGAAAAGCATGTGATCCAGAGTTTACAAAATTAAGATCAAGCTTTTTTCTCCTTCTGGTTGCCTACCAGGCACATGTAGGCTCAACACTTGAGGCAGAGTTTTTAGCATAAGAAAACACTTTTGAGTCCCCGTCTACCTTAAAATACAAATCATGCTGTTAAAGAGTAACAGGTTACAGGCCTAGGAAGTTGCCTCTTACCCCTATGGTGCTTTCTACATGATGACTGTGTCAGTTCTAGGTCTTCACCCACGCCTGAATTTGGAGGTGATGTAGAATCTGCCCTTTCCAAATATCCAAACAGTGGACAGTGTTGCTTCTCCAGGGAACACCACAGTGTTGCTTCGAGAAGACAGGTCTATGAGTTGATCATTAGCTTGATCATTATGTGAGCTTCAGAATGGGCTCACCAGGAAGCTGACCAAAAGCCTTCTTTTGTTGTCTTACCATTTGAGGCTCTACAACTGCAGTCATCTTCCCTGGGGCAGGAGACAGTCCTTTGGATAAGCAAACATGCTTCTTATATATCTCCAGAGCCTCCCTTATGTCCACACCAAAGAGATCCTTCAGCTGTCTTCTTTAAATGATTTTGAAGGCCTTGCTCTTCCTTGGGTTCTTTGCAAACTAAATTTAATGTTGCTATGGTATAATGTTTTTAATTCTCCTGGGAAGATACCCAGAAGGAAAATAACTGGGTCTAGGTGTAGTTTTTGAGGAATCTCCACACTGATTTCCCTAGTGGTTGAACCTGTTTACACTGCCATCAACAGTGGAAAAGTGTTCCTTTTCCCCCACAGCCCTGCTAGCATTTGTTATGAGTTCTTTTTTTTTTTTTTTTTTTTTTGGCCCTTTTGAGACAGGGTCTCTCTATACAGTTCAGGCTGGCCTTGAGATTACTTTGTAAACTAGGCTGGTCTTGAACTCACAATGATTCTCTTGTCTCAGCCTTCCAAGTGCTGGGATTACAGGCACGAGCCACCATGCCCCACTGGTTAAATTCTTTTTTTTTTTTTTTTTTTTTTAAGTTTTTTTTTTTTTTTACAAAGAATAAAACCAGAGGGCTGGGGGTTTAGCTCAGCGGCACAAGTGCCTATCTGGCAAGCACAAGGTCATAAATTTCATCCCCAGTACCAAAAATAAAAATAAAAATAAAATAGAATAAAACCACACAAAATAAAACAGAATCAAAACACAATCAAAACAAAGCAGTGAAAATGATACAAGATTTCAATACAGAATAATAGGAAATCAACAATGGTTACCATAATGCCTCTTGTCATCTTCAAAATTGCTGCCCATGCCATAAGTTATAATAAAACCAAACAAAACAGAACAGAATTAAACCAACCAAAACAGAACATTGAAGAAAAAAAGCACAATAAAATAGGACAAAATAAAACAGTGAGAATGTTGAATTTCAAAAATAAGATAGAGGGAAATCACCACAGTTGCTATACTGCATATTGTTACCCTCTAAATAGATGCTTGGACTACCAGCTTTAGGCCCACCAAGTCAAAACAAGAATTAAGTTTGTTTTTGTACCTCAGTTGCTGTCAACTCAGTCTGTGATGCTCCAAATCAACTGGTTGCTTAGTGGGGAGGGAGAGGCTCTTCTCTTATCCCAGC